TCTTCGCCGCCTCCCACCGGTTGCCCTCGAAGGGCATGTACTCGATGAAGCGCACCTCCAGGCCGGCGCTCTTCGTCAGCTGCACAAAGTCCTCCGCCTCGTCGTCGTTGACGCCGCGCAGCGGCACCACGTTGATTTTCACCGAGTCGAAGCCCTCGTTCAGGGCCGCTTCGATGGCCTTAAGGACGGCGGTCAGTCCGCGCCGGCGGGTGATCGCCTCAAAGCGCTCTGGCCGCAACGTATCTAGGCTGATGTTCACCGAGTCGAGGCCTGCCGAGTGGAGGGCGGCAGCCTGCCGAGCGAAGACGATTCCATTGGTGGTGAGGGCAATCTTTTGCAGGCCATGCGCCTTCAGCCCGTTCAGCTGGCGGACAATGTCGAGGATGTCAGGGCGGATCAAAGGCTCACCGCCCGTCAGGCGGATCTTCTTGACGCCGAAGCGGTGCACGAAAAGGCGGGCCAGGCGGAGGATCTCTTCGGTGGTGAGCAGTTTCTCTGATGGTGTCAGCTGGACGCCCTCTTCGGGCATGCAGTACAGACCTGTGTGTGTTTGTGTTTGAATTAAAAATTAAAGAATGAAGGTAATTAAAAGCCATAACAACTCACATCGGAGGCTGCACTTTTCCGTCAGCGAGATGCGCAGGTAGTCGTGCTTTCGCCCGAAGGTGTCACTCAGGTCTTGCCTCTTCTCGGGAACCGCTGAAGAGCTTGAAGAGGAGCTTGAAAAAGAGCTGAAGAACCGGGCAAAGGGTGACAGCTGCAGTCGAAGCAGTGTCCTGCCCAGTGTTTTGCCTCTCGTCAGCATCTTCTGTGGTGTACTAGTACTGGTGCTGGTAGTTGAGGCAAACGTCTTCTGTTATTCACTTTTGCGGCGAGGCACCATCGAAATAAGAAAGAGTGGAGAAGAACTCGGCAGCAACAGCAGCAGCAGCATGAGCAGCACTCATGTTTTTATCATCCAGTGCATCATGTGACGTCGTAGTGGCGGTGGTGGTATCACTGCATCTAACTGCACGAGCCGAAAGTGATGATGAGATGTTGAGATGGAACAAAGTGCAGCCTAGAGCAGGAAACGATGATCAGGAGATGGTGATCCTCTCAAGTTTGTGTTGCCGGCAGGTGAAGTGAGGAGGAGCGAGAGATGGCAACAACAAAAGTGGCCTTGCTGACAGTTTGCAAGCACTTGGTAAACTTTTGGCGCCAGAAAGTGTTTATGGAACTTGAGTTTGTCCCACTCCTGGACCCAAATGATATATTTGGCACAAAAATAATCAAGCACCTATTAAGCGACAAAACTGTTTTTAGCGAGATTTTTTTTGTTGATGTTTTGCTCCTGAAATGTTGGCTTTCTTGCTTGCTAACGGCCATATGGTAAAGATCATTTTATGAAACCAAACGAATTTTTTTTGATTTTTATCATTTTTTGTAGAGATTTGAATAAAAGAGTGGCCCTAGGGCCTTTGGCAAGGTCTTAAGCAGCTCTAATAGTTCAGCGCATGAGTTTACCATTCAAAAGATAGGCAAAAAGTCGCAATTTCAGCCGTTTTTCGAGAAAAAAAATTTAAAAAATGCAAACTTTGGTTTTTCTTGAAGCCTGGAGTAAAAGAATGGTGCTAGGACCCTAGAAAAGACCAAAAAAGTCTCGAACTTATGACCTTCGCGTTATTAGCACGACGCTCTAACCAACTGAGATAAAGGACCATTTAATTGGAGTGTACTACGTTTTCCAGCTTCTTAGCCGAACCTCCTGAAATGTTGGCTTTCCTGCTCGTGTATAGGTGCAGTGAAGCACAGAGAAGCCAACATTTCAAGGGATTCAGCTTTATAAGGTTGGGATACCCTGTACACTCCAGTTAAATGGTTCTGTAGCTCAGTTGGTTAGAGCGTCGTGCTAATAACGCGAAGGTCCAGCGTTCGATCCGCTGTAGAACCAAATTTTTACCCGTTTTTGGAGCCATTCCAAGGTTCCTATGACCCTCCTTTCATTCCTGGCTTCAAAAAAAAATCAAAGTTTTTTTAAAAACGGCTGAAATTTCGACTTTTTCGCTATCTATAGAATAGTAAACTCACGCGCTGAACTATTAGAGCTGTCTAAGACCTTGCCAAGGGCCCTAGGGCCATTCTTTTATTCAAACATTGTCTCAGTTACTTAAAAAAATCAGTTTGCTCATTTTTTGAATTTTTTCAAATAAAGACCTCTGGTCACAGTGAGGGGAGAAACAGAGCACAATATTGCCACTTTTTCCTACTGTGATTTAAACGGGGCTATGATTTTTATAAAATGAAGTACTCAATACAAGTTATTAGGGACTTTATGAAGAACAGTCCAATCTGATGTCTTTGTTTGTTCCACTTCGGCCAATAACTATCTGCCATCAGTTGCCAAACAAGAGACAACAATTTTAGCAACTTGTTGGTAAACAACCATAATTCAAAGGCAACCAAAGGTGAAGACAAAAAAACTTTTTATTGTTGGATGTTATTTTTTACATTACGAGCAGTGTTGGTGTTGGTGCACTGTCGTTGTTGTCAACGTCGTCATCATCATCTCAGCGAAGTCTTCTGGCTTCTCGCTCCGACTCGAGCAGCGTGAGGATGTCGCCCTCGCGGACGGGGCCCTTGACGTTGCGGATGATGGAGCGGTTGGACTCGTCGAGGAACTCCACGCGCACCTGGGTACACTGGCCCTGGCTGCCGGTTCGGCCGAGCACCTTTGACACCTTGGCGAGACGGATCTTGTCCATGCTGATGCTGAAACACGATGGTGAAGCAAAACAAACGTTAGTAGTGCATCATTAGTGCTAGAAAATTCTGGGCATAACTTACCTTATCAGTTGGCGGTTGAGGAACCAAATGGAACGCAGAAATGCGGTAAATAGTGCAGTCACAGAAGGCGAGAGTCGCTGCGAGAGAGGGAAAAGGCCTGCAAAGTGGCGTGGGCACGCGGAACTACAACTGCGCTCACCGCCGCTGAGGGCGCTCCACTGATGGGGGCGCTCGCAGAAGACGAACCAAGTGGTGAAAACAAACAGTTTCAAAACGGTGATCTGATTTGGTGGTCAGTTAGAGTGATCATTGAGACCGATTACTTTTCTGGTAAAACTAAGGAATCTTTTGATAGTTTACATTCCGGTAAAGTGAGCTTAATCTGAAAGTTACTTTGCTTTAGCCTCCTTTTCCCAGTGTTGTGATGCACTCAGACGGATCTTTAATGCACTAATGATCAGTTTAATAATTGTGTGTTGGTATTTACAGAACTTCATTTTTTAACAGCTATCAACAGTGATTAGTCGGGGTATCTCTACTTGGGGCCCTTGGTGACGTGGGCGCAGTCGTAGGCGCCGCGAATGACGCGCAACTTCAAACCGGGCACATCACGGACGCGCTTCTTGTGAATGAGCACGACGCTGTGCTCCTGAAGGGTGTGCCCCTCACCGGGCACAAAGGCCGTCGCCTCTTTGCCGTTGGTCAGACGAACCAGAACGCACTTTCGATTGGCGGAGTTGGGTTTCTTCGGCTTACGAATCAGCGTCTTCAGGACGACGCCGCGCATCTGCTGCTTACTGTCCAGTGGATGGCGCCGCTTGAGCTTCGGCTTGGGGCCGGCCTTGTGGATCCGCTGCAGGAACTTGTCCTCGTCCCACTCCTGCTTGGTGACGGGCAACTCCTTGGAGAAGCAGGGCACATACTCGTGCTGATGGAACATCTTTTGGAGAAGCGGTCCAATCGAGGCACTGGTGACTAGTGACCGTCTGCTGCTGCTGCTGTTGTTGTTGAGCTGTGCGACTGATTCGACAATTCTAGGGCTTCCTGGGAGATTGAATAGTGGTTAGCTTTGTGTGAGCTTTGTTTATTTACAAACTTACCTCTGATCAAGGGCGACTGGCAAACGAAGGAAGACGACCACAAGAACTTTGAAAGCACCTTCCCACCACAGCTGTTGTTGTTGTTGGTGTTTGTCGCAGCGCGAAGCAGTTGCCGTCCTGCGATTCTGGCCACCGCCAGGCCAGAGATGATTGAGCCCAGCATTGACTTCAAGTTCTCAAAGAAGATTTTGGCAGTTGATGAAGGAGGAATCAGTGATGAAGATCAGAAGTTGTTTTGTGATTAGAAACAGCCAAAACAGATGTGCAGCAGCACAAGCGGTGGTGCACACGCCGATACGTACTTAACGACCAGTTTGTTTATGAGTCCAAATAATCTTTTCTTCTGTCGATTGATTTTCACTTGTGTCGAGATCACATCGACATTGTTTTGCTACTTTTTGTTCGGGCCCCGCGATTACGAAGCACTCCCACCAGATCACAGCTTTTGTCGAGCAGACACAACCGGCCTCAAGATGGCTTATCAGCTGTACCGAAACACTACCATCGGTCATACGCTGCAGGAAAGCTTGGATGAGTTTGTTTCAGTAAGTGACATGGCCACCGAGTTGTTTTTGTTTTTGAGATGATTTTTCTTTTAATAACCAATTTCTGTTTTCCCGTTTGCAGTCGGGACAGATTAGCAATGGACTCTCTCAGAAGGTGATGCTTCAGTTTGATAAAGCAATCAACAACGCCCTGGCCAATCGCGTTAAATCAAGGCTGACGTTTAAGGTAGCTGTGTTTACGTCGTAGTTTTGATTGAACTCTTGTTTACTAACTGGTTCTCTTTTTCTTCTTCCAGGCGGGACATCTAAAAACATATCGGTTTTGTGATAATGTCTGGACGTTTGTCCTTAAGGACGTCGAGTTTCGGGAAGTGCAAGAGCTGATCAAGATTGACAAGGTGAAGATTGTGGCCTGCGACGGCAAGAGCAGTCAGCAACAGAAGGACGCCGAACGCGACTAAACCTCCCTCCATAAACGATTTGTACAACTGTTGCCTCTAAACTATCGGAACCACTTTATAGTTTCCATTTTAAAAACTCCAGCCTGCTGTACAATGTACACCAAGTGCTGTGTTCACCCTACCAGGTGCTCTCTAATTGGCACCACAGCCTCCTCCCTTTCGTCTAGGACTTTTTATACATTATCCATCTCAACTTCCACTGTTTTACTCTCTCTCTCTCTCCCTTAATCCGTTGATGTTCACGCCTAAACTTGCTAAGTCAACACACACACTCTTACTCAGAGGGGCAGACAGGAGCTACTGTACCACTCACTGTAAATACTGTACACCGAAAATTAATAAACTGTCGCATCTAGATCAGAACTTATGATGATAGCAACTTCTCTCTTTTATTGAAACAGGTTGGAAAGATTACACAGCATGTTGTTGTTGTTGCTATCGGAACAGGATTTATGTCTTTTTGTTCACACACCCGAGAACTCTAAGCAACGTTGGCGTTCGGGCCACGTCGGCGGCCTGGAGCGCGGACGGCGTTGACGAATCGGCGGTTGTACTGCAGACGACGCTTCGCTCGGCCGGTGGCCTTCTTCTTCTTCTCCTGCTTGTCCACCTTCGGCGTCTGGCCCTTGACCTTGCCGGCACGGGCGAGCGAGCCGTGCACCTTACCACCGAGCAGTCGCAGGGCGACGTCGACGTGGGCGCCGCTGCTCAGGCACTGTCCGAGCTCCTCTTCGTCGTCCAGCGGGCGGCCGTTGTGGTAGAGGATCGCCTCCTCGGCGGCGGCGATCGCCTGGGTCTCCTCGAGGTGCTGCTTCAGCGCAAAGACGACGTCAGTCGATTCGCACTCCACGGCGTGGGTGCCATCCAGGCGGAGGAAGATTTGCATGTTTGCTGTTGTAGTTGGTGCTGGTGATGATCCGGGAGTTGGTTTCGGGCGTCAGGGGCGCGGAAATGGGCTCAAATGGACCGGGAATCGGGCGATTTGTCCAAGTGGAAACACTCTGGCAGTCACAGCAGAAAAGAAAGAGGGAGCTACGACGGAAACACGCCAGCACTATTTTGACGGCGCGTGTGAGCTGTGCGAGCGCGAGCAGCGCCGCCCGAGTGCTAATAGCCCGCCTGCCAGGCCATCTACCGGCGCCAAAGTGAAACCTCTACGCCAGGATTTTCAACTTACTGCTTCTGCCGATCCCGTTCTCTTTTACGTCGTGTTTGTGTGTTGTGTTTGTGTTGTGTTTGCTCTTCGGCTCACTTCGTTTCACTTTCTGGTACGCTGGGTAAACAACGGGGCCGAACCAGGAGGATTTTAGTTCCCGCCTTGCCAACACCGCACAACCTGAAGAGCAGCAGCAGCAGCAGCAGTTCCAGCACTGCCTAATTGCTACTTCTGCTGGGCCGACGCCACCGCTGATTAAACATTGAATGTCGGTGCTAGTGGAGCGATAAATAGTGCGACGGCGGTATTCAAGATCGGTTCGGGCTGCTGCGCCACAACTTCGGGCACCACTTTCTCGGGTAAGTGAATTTACAACCTGGTATTCTTCTCGTTATTGATGGCTGCTATGACGACGCATGATAAGCTACCCAACTGAACTGCTGGCACTTGCTTTCCCCAAAAGTTTGACCGACTTTTGAAACTCGGTCAGCAACAATAAAGTGTTGCACACACACAGACAGACGCTTGTTTACCGAGCCCGATTCTCCGGTTTTCCGCTAATCCTCCAACATCATTATTTCTCAGTTTCCTTTCACTTTTTTTATTGCCCATCGATTACTCAATGTGTGTTTGTGTTTATGATTGCAGCAATTAACACGAGTTTTATCTCTATCTCTCCCCCACTTGTAGTGCTCATCATTGCCTGGAAACGGCATCACCACACTAGTCAGTGTGGCTTGCTACATTTGCAAGCAACCGAAAAACAAAAAACTTTTATTCTTCGACTTTGAAAACTGTACACCGTTACTGTCACCCTAGTCTCAGAGACCGTGGCGAATCGTCTGCTCGGCATTGAGGACATGACTCATTGATGCTTCTACTACAGTCTCGTGAACACGCCTAATCTCTTCGGCATCATCATCTGCGTCTCAGACAGACAGGCTGTGTGATATCGTTNCAGACAGACGCTTGTTTACCGAGCCCGATTCTCCGGTTTTCCGCTAATCCATCATCATTATTCCTCAGTTTCCTTTCACTTTTTTTATTGCCCATCGATTACTCAATGTGTGTTTGTGTTTATGATTGCAGCAATTAACACGAGTTTTATCTCTATCTTTCCTCCATTTGTAGTGCTCATCATTGCCTGGAAACGGCATCACCACACTAGTCAGTGTGGCTTGCCACATTTGCAAGCAACTACGAAAAACTTTTTTATTCGTTTGACTCCGAAAACTGTACACCGTTACTGTCACCCTAGTCTCCGAGACCGTGGCGAATGGTCTGCTCGGCATTGAGGACATGACTCATTGTTGCTTCTACTACAGTCTCGTGAACACGCCTAATCTCTTCGGCATCATCATCTGCGTCTCAGACAGACAGGCTGTGTGATATCGTCTGCGCCATCATCAATCAAGGGTGCGCGCAAAGCTTCCTCAAATCCACCTCATCATCCTCAGCAAAACAGACGCGCGCGCCGTACCTGTACAACAGCTCTGCTTAGCTGCTGTACGGCACTCAAATGTCCCTCTACGATCGAGGGGAAGAGTGGTTGTTGAACATCGCCAGCAGGCCAGAAAGGTGGACAACATCATCATCATCATCGGTAGAAGCAGCAGTGTGACAATTACACAAAGCCCGACCCTGGTGAAGACGCACCTGACACAAACACACAACATTCAACGCGTCAACGACTGGTGAGTTTGTACTTTTTTTCGCTCAATTGAATAGATGACTTTTCTCAACTGTCATCTTCGCACAGGTAAATTGCTAGTGCTGATTGATGATATAGAGGCAGTGTTTAGGGTTTCAGCTAGCTTTTGATAGTGACAAGCCTTTTGCTCCAGTGGCCGTTGCTGCTGCATGTCGACCTCAAAAGCCTCAAAAGCGTAATTGCCGGCGTAGTTGCCGTGCCTGCATTTGCACCGTTGTCACCAACTTGTTGTTGTTCTGCTCCCATTACTTAACTCCTCTTTTACAGACATTTTTTATGTCAACGACTATGTGATCTACAGTACAAAGCAGTCTTACTCACTCTCTTCTACGCCGTTCTCCTTCTCCTGACTGAACTGTCGCTCGCCTCATTCGAAGTCAAAACACGCTGAGCACTTTCTCTTCAAGTCAAGTCAAATGCATTTTACAACACACCACTTGTGATACACTCTCTCGACTGTTAACAAAGAGAACCCCCTCTTACACTTTAACTCTATACAAGGAAGAAGGATGAAATCCTCCAAAGTGATGATCACCTTCTTCTCCTCCTCTTCTCTGCTGCTGGCGTCGCAGCTGCTGCTGTTGCTGGTGCCGCCTGATGCGGTGGACGGCTACGCAGTGTTGGACATTCGGCAGGACGAGAAGGCGAAGCTGCTGCACCGTCTGGACACGCTGAACATCCTCGCCTACGTCAGCATCCTCATCCTCATCGTCTGCACCATTTGGCTGTTCAAGCACAAACGGGTCAAGTTTATCCATGAGACAGGGCTGGCGATCATCTACGGCCTGGTGGTGGGGGCGATCATTCGCTACGCCGGCAAGGACACCGAGGTCTCACAGCTGAGGTAAGTAAAGAAGGGGAGGGAATGATTTAATGAAATCTAATCATCTTTTTGTCTGCACAGCGTCATACCGAAGAACATCACCAGCATCAACTCGACGATCAAGTACGGCCCGCCGGACATGCTGTGGATTGAGTTCAACGTGCCGGCGGGCGTCAAGGAGGACGTCAACGGGCGCTTCATTCACAACACGGCGGCGGTCACCGGTGTGCCCGCACTGGCTGGCAATGACAGCGGCATTATCATCGGCAGCAACAGCAGCAGCAAACAGCTGGTCCCTGCAGTGCTGGTCCCCGTACAGCCCGGCAACACCACCAGCATTACCCCCAGCGGCAAGGACACAACCGAGGCGCGCTCCTACGCCTACGTCTTCCAGGGCGAAATTTACAACCCAAAGACGGACGGCTCGCGGCCGCAGAACACCAAGATCCTGGAAAAGGCCACCTTTGACCCGGAGATCTTCTTCAACCTCATTCTCCCGCTGATCGTCTTCAACGCCGGCTACTCGCTGAAGCGCAAGTTCTTCTTCCGCAACTTTGGCGCCATCATGACCTATGCCTTCTTCGGCACCACCATCAGCTGCTTCATCGTCGCCTGCGTCATGAAGACGCTGGGCTGGTTCATGCCGACCACCCTGGCCGAGTTTAGCTTCAGCGACTTTCTCTACTTTGGCGCCATCATCAGCGCCACCGACCCGGTCACCGTGCTGGCCATCTTCAACGACATTCGCGTCGACGTGACGCTGCACGCCCTCGTCTTTGGCGAGTCGATCTTCAACGACGTCATCTGCATCGTGCTGGCCAGCTCCATTGACTCCTTTACGCGGCACTACGCGCAGGGCTTCTTCCTCGCCGTCTACACCGCCTTCACCAACTTTCTCTACATCTTCATCGCCAGTCTCATTCAGGGCTCGCTGATTGGCTGTGCCACCGCCCTGCTGACCAAGTACACCAAACTCTGTGACCACCCGCTGCTGGAGAGTACGCTCTTTGTACTTTGCTCCTACGCGAGCTTTCTCCTCGCTGAGGCGTTTGAGCTGTCGGGTAAGTGGGCGATTTGTTTTGGGGAAATTATTATGAAAACTAACTTTTTATTTACCTTCCTTTTTCAGGCATCGTCTCGGTGCTCTTCTGCGGCATCTGCCAGGCCCATTACACCTACAACAACCTCTCGCCGGAGTCGCGCGTCCGCACCAAGTCACTCTTTGAGATGTGCAACTTCATCGCGGAAAACTTCATCTTTGCCTACATTGGCGTCAGCATCTTCACCTTTCCGCAGCATCTCTGGTCCTTCTGGTTCATCCTCTGGACCTTCATCGCCATCATCCTCGGCCGAGCGCTGAACGTTTACCCGCTCAGTTACTTTCTCAACCTTGGGCGGACAAATAAGATTCCTCTGGAGTTTCAGCACGTCCTCTTTGTCTCCGGACTGAGGGGTAAGGAGTTTGAAAGTTTTTTAAGTGCAGTTTTTAACAATCTTTTCCCCCATCTATCAGGTGCCATGGCCTTTGCGCTGGCCATTCGCAACACGCTGACCGAGCCGCGCCGGCTGATGCTCACCTCCACCTCCATCGTCTCCATCACCTCGGTGATCTTCTGCGGCAGCTCCATTCAGCCCATTCTCGCCTACTTCAGCATTCCCACGAACGTCGACGAGGCGGTGGAGCACAACTCGAGCGGCTTTGGCGCCGGCAACGACGCCGCTGGCACCAGCTTTGACCGCTTCCGCAATCGGTCCGGCTCCGCCGACGGCTCCATCATTNGAGGCGGTGGAACACAACTCGAGCGGCTTTGGCGCCGGCAACGACGCCGCTGGCACCAGCTTTGACCGTTTCCGCAATCGGTCCGGCTCCGCCGACGGCTCCATCATCTCGCCCGTGGACGACCTGAACATTGGCTCGCCCGGCTCCAACTCCAACCTGATCACCGGCCCCAAGGGCGCCTACGAGAAGGCCTGGCTGGTGCGCAAGTGGTACAACTTTGACAGCAACTTTATGAAACCGCTGCTGACGCACGCCCGGCCCTCGCTGATGGAGACGATGCCCGCCTGCTGCCTGCCGGTGGCCCGACTGCTCACCTCAGAGCAGCAGATGCGGGAGGCCTTTGGGGTGAACAACAACAATAGCCTCAACAATGCAGGTCAACACGAGCAGACGAGCATGATCATCACCCAGCAACCACAGCCACCACCGTCGAACGGCGCCGGCAGCCGGCAAAAGGTGCCCAAAACGCGAGCTTCTCGAGCAGGCGCCGCATACCAAAGCAGTGACAGCAGTGCTAACACTAAATCCTATCAATCAATCTACTAGATGATCCAACATGATGATGATGATGATGATGA